GTTCATTAAGGGCTTGACGAGGGAGAGGGACTGTGTGGGCAAGGCGAGACCCCACGGCAACGAGGCAGGATCCTTCCCCATGTCCTGCGTAGCCTAGAAACTTTTTGCAAGTTAAAAGTTTATTTACTAAGACAGACAGTTTGGACACAACAGAGTCATTAAAATAGAGGCTAGGGTTTAGAGTTTGGTCTGGAAAGAGAATATAATAAGATTTTTGCTAAGACTTTTGTTAGCTCTGTTCTCAAAGGAAATATTCTTCATTTTTCCTAGGAGATTTTTTAGCCCAGACTCCACTCAATTTAGTATTTGAATGCTCAGAAAAGTCATCCAAGCCCCAGTGATTTTTTTTTTTCCCTTTCAGTTTGCATTTGCAGAAGAAAAACCAAATATTTCTGCTCTGATTGCCTCACACTATCACTTTCGGCCCTGTTTTTCAGCATCCCCCTGGAACAGCAGGAACCCTCGGGTACTCGGCTCCCCTGTTTGGCACCCAGGACCAGCATCTGTGGCTGCTCTCAGCTCTTGGAGGGCCTTTGGGAGAGGCTGATGCACCCCACATCCCACGCTGCCACGCTGGGGTCCAGCTTTCCCATTTAAATTCATTAAATTGGTGCAAACCTAGCGTATAAGCAAGATGCAGCCCCAGCATCCACAGCACGCTGGGTCCTGTGCTTGGTAGGTGGCCTGAATAAAAATAACGCCCATATAAAAATAACACCCATCTGGCCCTCAGGTGTTGGGTACGTTTAACACCATCGGCTTGCTGAGCTACCTGGGCCTCCCAGCTATAATTTAGCTGCTGCCATGTCCTCCCCGCACTGGTTTGGTCCGTACTGCGCCTGATCCAGCCCCAGCCTCATTCCCTCGATGGGCATCACCCCATCGGCACCGGCACCAAAACCACTTTGCAGAGGGGCTGCCCCCCTCGAAAGCCCCTTTTCCATAGATGACCCAGCACACGTCGGTACAACAAAGCCCTTTTTATTTGTCCGCTTTTTCTTTTCCCTTTCCTTCTTCTTCTCTCTTTTCATTGCAGCTTTAAACGAGGCTGCGAGTAAAGCACGGATCAATTTGGAATGGAAAGTTCCTGTAAATAATAGCTACACCTCGGGGCGTTTCCTCTCCCAGTAGCTGTGAAGAAAAGGCGGGTATGTCTAGGGTTTGACTTGAAACATATTTCCGCTGGCCAGGGCTGCGGAGTTGGGTTCTCACCCATATTAGCATTTATTGTGGTTTCGTTCGCGCTTTTCCTTTTTGTTTTTTCTCTTTTCTTTTTTTCTTTTTCCGTGCGAATGCCGCTATGGGCTACGCTTACGGAGATGCTGCAAAGAAGAGGCAGAGCATCGGCTCCGGCACATCCGCCCTGCTCGATGGGCAAGGCGCCGGCATCGCCCCGGCACGCCGCTGCTGCTGCCTTCGCCGGGCTCATGAATAACGCTTGCGTTGAGTGGCTTGGCTCCTCGGGAGCCCCCAGCCTACAGCGCATTGGCATCGGATGCTATTGTAGGCTGGGATTTTTTTTATTTTTGCTTTTCAGCTGTCATTTGGGTTCTGGAGGCGAGTGGTGAGTGCTAAAGGGTTTGGGCTTGGACCGCCTGGGAATTTGGGTCCTGTTTAGGATTTGTGCTGGAGCTTTTGTGTCTTGGGAAGCGGCGCGGCGATGACAGGCGGCGGTCGGGATGTGGGACGCTTGGCTGGGGATGCAGGGATCACCTCCCAGGTCTAGCCCAGTGCAGGGTTAGTGGTCCAGACCTCCCCTTGGAGAAGCCTAAAGGGGTTTTCTTAGAGCTCGGAGCCCGGGATCATCGCTCCCATCGCCCCCCTGCATCCCTGTGCAGGCACCTGCCTGCCCTCCTCCCCGGACACCCTCGCAACGCCTGCTCGGGCCAAACCGTGGTCAAGAGCAGCCGTGACCCCCCCCTCAGACACCAGATCTGGGCAGCGGGCTGCTCGCAGAGGTGCCAAAATTAGACCCTGGAGAAAGAGCAGCGTGACGAACCTTCCTCTGTACCAGGGCACAGATCTGCTCCCCGCAGTGAGAAGTGAGCAGGCGGAAGGCACCGGGGAGACTGGTAACCGTACATTTATTATTCCACATGGAAAGTCATTAAAATGATTACACGGAGGCCTGACGATATAATCATGTACATTGGATAAGAACATTGACACCGATAATAGAAAAGCAGAACTGACCACTTTGCTATGGCTTCGTACCAACGTGATTTCCACCCGCTCATGAAGGAGCCCGACTCTGTTCTCATTGAAGCCAGCGCAGCAGAGACTCCTCCAGCGAGAGCTTCTTCCAATGACTTCAACAGGAGCAGACCCTCCTCTTCCTCGCCCTCCCTCCCCGCCTCCCCCCTCCCCAGTGACAAGTGCTACAGGTTAAAAAGATGGGCTACATATTAAATATAGGGCATTACCTTCAAGTAGGGTTGGTATATTACACAAATAACCACATTATTTGGTATCACTAGCACATTTTTTTTTAATGTCCATTGTTAAGACACCATTAAAAAAAACCAACAACTTTAGCCTTCTTTTTATCTACAAAGATCTTTGTTCTCATCTCCTTAGTTGTTTGTTGTTATTTTACCCTGCACATACAAGTATTAGAAGCATTATTAAGAATCGGATCCTTCAACACATTTAAGAATTATATTATTATAACAAATAAGACCAAAAATTAGATTTTATAGTTAAATATTCTGTGAGCCAGACAAAGGGGTTTTACTGTACAAGCGATTGTGCATTTTTTAAAAAAAGCAAATTATAGTGCAAAGCAAAAAACGTTGGCCTGTCTTGTGACCATTTGCATACAACAGAGGTGCATATATTTACACCTTCACATGACAATATGTCATAAAAATAACATCGTTGCCATTCTTATTATTTTCTTTATTTAATTCACTACGAACAGTCTTAAATTAACCTAGTACTATGAATGCCTTGTTTTCTTTGTGCTTTCAATCAGTGGCGCAATTGGATGATAAACGTAAATGCATCAAAACACAGGCTGCCGTGGTCCAGTTTCTACAGCTGGCGAGCACCAGAGAGATGCTCGCTGTCGCTAAGGCAAGTGAAGGTTGCAGTTTTGCTGGGGTAGGGCTTTTTTTAATTATTATTTAAAAGAGTTGTTCTTCTTGTTGCTTATTTAACTCATGAGTGGTCATCGCAGCTTTCCAACTAAGCCAGGATGTCTTGCTCCAGTCTTGACGTGGTAGTGCAATTACAACGCTCTGTACCTCAACCGAGTGCTGACAAGCTGCCAACTGAGATTTGGTGATAGGTAGCGTGGCCATAATGGTGTAACTTAGACAGAGGGGCCGGGAGAGCAGCTGTGGGGTTTCAATTTCCTTATGCTCATGTAAAAAAAAAAAAAAAAGGCTTGGGAACTGGTGGCACTGGGGGCTGGGGACTGTCTGCATCCCCTTGCTGCAGGGTAGGCTCCAGAGGGCAGTGGGTACCACAGTTACACGCTCCCCAGGAACCTGCCCATGCACCCTCAGCCCTGCCAGCACGAGGAATCCCCAATCCAGCCTGAATTCCCACGCCAGGAGAAAGCACAGCGGGCTCATGCCAGGCGATGTAACCCTGTGGCATGCATCAGAGCCAGGCCACTAACCTGGCCTTGGGGGGGGGCCCTGCCGCCTCTCCGGCTGCCTACGACCTCCCGCCGTGATCCCGTTCAGGTTGCAATCTCTTTGGTATCAGCTACAAGGGCGCGTGGTGCCCGGGAGACCTGGCTCCTCCAAATGCCACATGATGCAAACCAGCTACCGATGGGCCAGTGGTACCTTTAGTGCCCCTTCCTCAGCTTATTCATCTACAGCAAGATACCCATGCTCTGGGTCACCTGGGGGAAAGGAAAGGAGGGTGAGGGGATGGAAAAGGCTAGATAACATTGCTTCACAATATTCCCACCACCAAGGGACTGAGTAGAAATTGCTCCTTTCTCCAAATCTCAGTTAGAGCTTTCAGTATGAACTGACAAGTGTAAGTCGTTTCTTAATAAAAAAAGTCACCATGTGTCAATCCACTCTGGGTGAAAACATGGGAAAGAATCATAACAGGAATATGATGCTTTGCCACCAGCTGCATGTGTCGCCACTCAGAGAGGATGAAAGGAAGACCCAAAGACCGGTGGCAGGGTCATGCCAAAGGCTCCTGAGTCCCTTTTGCAGCTAACGCGCTTGGAAGTGCATCTTATACATCTTGGATTGTCCTGAACGCCGCCTTCACTTCAGCCACCATCACTGAGATTTGCTAAGAGGAGCAAAGAATTGAATGGTGAGGTCAGGACAAAAGAGCAAACAGAACAAAACACGTCTCGTAAAAAGTACATCTCATATGTAAACATACAGGAAAGAGGGGGGTCTGTCAGGCACGGAATCAACCACGTTACTGTTTTAAAAATGACGACAATGACAAAAATGAACAATACAACCTCTGTCGTCAACAACAAATAATAATAATAATCACATCACAGCTCTTGTTCACATGGCTGATGCCGGCCGACCCGCGAGGAGCGCGCAGCCCCCGCGCGTGCCCGAGTCCCGCGGTTGTGCTGTAAACCAGACTCTCAGGTGCCGCGCGTGGCTCTGGCGTCGTCCCGGAGATCTTTGGTGGTCAGGGGCCCTGCACTGGCGGGGAGGGAAGGAGAGGAGACAATGGGGGTTTTTTCTTTTTTTTTTTTTTTTTTTCCTTTTTTTATTCAGTTCAGTCTTCCTGCATTGGCAGAGAGATGGCTTGGATGACTCCCTGGTCTTTTCTCTTCTCTGAAACATTCTGCAGAAGAAGGGTGAGCTTTTCGTAACTTTTGAATGCTTTGTGTGGGGAAGAGGTGCAAGTGAGATGACTGAGAAGTTTTCTGCAAGAAACAAGCATCTGATTCCACACGTCCTTTTTTTTTTCCCTATGTACAATCCACACACTTAAAACATACGGATGGAACCACATCAAGCGACAAATTCAAGCCCCGTGGATGTTCATCTTGAAATGTAACGTAGGTCCTGGTCCATCTTCGCTTGATGTTTGCCCATGCTTGCATGCAGAGGATCCTGATTTACTTTTGGTTTGGGAGACTTTGGTTTACTTTTTCCCTAGGCATCATTTTGCTCTATTCACTACCAAAAGGAGTAACGTAACGGTGGCTGATTAAGTTAAAGCTATCGGTGCCCAGCTGAGTTCCTCCTAATACGGTCTCCAGACCGACTCATCCATCCTCCCAGTAGTCGTCATGGTTGTCGGCGAGTTACTGTGGCTCCCGTCTGCATCCACCCCGTCATTCTGATTGCCGAGGTTGGGATTCATTAAGTTGTTCCCCGCTGAGGCACTTGTACAAGAAGAGAGCATCCGGGTGGGGGAGCGCTCGCCGCCTGCCACCATGGAGAACTGGTAGGAGCCTGAAGACGTGCCATAGTACAAATGGTAGGGAGAGGGGTTGGCCTGGAAGGGTCCACTTTGGTTTTGCGTGGAGCCGGGGTAGGGGGGTGGCAGGTAAGTGTGGTGGAAGCGCGTCGTGGTGGGCATGCTGGTCATGCTGATGCCCCCAATCCCCGTGGCGGAGGGCGTTGCGGTGTAAGGGAAGGCAGCGGACATGGCACCGGGGTAATGCATCCGTGGGTCGGAAAACCTGGTCTCGGTGAGAGCCGGCAGCGTCGGGAAGGAGCGATCGAACTGCCGGGGGTCAGAGAAGGGGCTCAGATCTGACGTGCCTGTTGGGGTGGAGGAAGAAAGAGGGTTGTTAGAGCACTACCCTTGAGGCTTGTAGAGTTTGTCCTATAGCCTGGGCCGTGCCCCTGCCCAAGGAATTAAAAGTCAGAGGGAAAAGCATCTCTTGGCTCTGCCAGGGAAGAGAGCTAGGGAACTTAAATACAAAAATCCTAAACCCATTTGTTTAAGTTGTTCCCATTTCCTGTCCTTAAATTTGTTGTTTCCTATCCAAGAAGGGACACGACTAAGCTGATTTCTCTAGGGGTCTATTCATCTCTGGCAGATTAAAAAAACACACCCCATAAACACAGAAAAAAAATGTTTAGCCATTACATCAGCTGTGTAGTAAATAAATGGATGCAGGCCCCAGACGGCCGGTCCCTGAGATAGTCGGTGGTGTGTATACACACACAAGGAGACAGAGAGGAAAAGCTGGAGTCCAGACCAGCCTGCTAAGCCTTCTTGTGGGTGGCCTGTTCGTGCTGATACCATCAGGGGATGGAGCTGATAAACACACAGCTGAAAACTCCCAAGCTAGGAGCCACAATATCCCTCTGCTTGATTTCTCTGTGTATTTTTCTCCTTCCAAGAGGATAAAGAGAGTGAGAAATTCAGGCTTTCTTCTGCTGGGGGAAGGGAGATTTGGGTCAGCATGGTGGGGATGTTACTCAGCTCCCTCGGATGCTGGAGCCCCCCGTGCCTTTTCTTGGTGTGGGGTCTAAACCCAAAGGGGGTCGCAGCCAGCTTATAACTGGAGAGGGACCTCTGTCCGGTGCTGCCAGGTCCCGTTCTCCTGTGGGAAGCCCAGGTTAGGGATGGGAATCCACACAGCAGATCCTTTGAGGATCTCAAGGCTTTTCTGTGGCACTCTCAGCTGTCCCGAGGCTGGTGCCGGTTCCTTACAGAGCCCAGCACACCTCTGGCCTTGGCGCATCTGAGGCAGAGAAGTGAGTTTTGCTCTCCAAGGAGAGATGTGAAACCTCTGTCCTCAAGACCTCAGCAGCCCATGCCAAGCTCTGGCACTGGTTATGCCAGAGGGCATGGCTAGAAATGCCACAACTGCACCTTTCTCAGCCTTTTAAGACCCCTCATGAGATGAAAATCTCTAGAAAGAGCAGTTCTAGCCCAAAGTGCTCGGCTGGTGCACCAAGCTCAAAGCTTTGGCCAGCTGGAGGTGGCTCTTCAGCCTTTCTGTTTACTCCCAAGACCCCTATTTTTCCCTTGTTCAAAGCAGGGGCATCTCACCTTTCTGCTTTGGAAGTGGGATGTCATCTGGCCTCAGCGACTTTTTTTTGTCACATCGGCTGGATTTTGTACCGACTCAGAGCAAGAAAATGTGTGAGATGAATATGCTAAACATGCTTGTTGGGTTTAGATATGCATATATATATACAGACACACACATTCATATGATTGTATATTTGCTATGCATGCATAGGGATGTATGTTTTATATATATTTATTATGATGAAGCATTTTTAACTTCTCAGGGCTGGTGTTCCAGCCCCTGCAGCATTTCCCCAGGAAAAAATACTTGAGCTAATCCCTTCCAGCTAACTAGTGGCAAGGGCAGGCTCTGGAGGAGCAGATCGGGAGGGGATTTGATCTGAACCCTCTTTCTCATCCCAGATGAGTCCTTCAGCTATCGGCCGCTGGAAGGAGAAGGGGAGAGGAGGTTCCTCCCTCCCCTCCAGCAGTTTTGCGGGTGATCGGCTGCGCCTCCCTTCCCACGCAGGCTCCACGGAGGAGAAAGGCGGGGGAGCACCTGGTTTGTGAACGTGGCTGCGGCTTTGGTGCGAGATAAGAGAGGAGCAGCTCAAAGCTGTCACGAACCGTGCCGCTCTGCACACACGCGGGGCTGGATGCAGCCGAGCCGAGCATGGAAGCGGCTGCCTGGCCGCAGGGCCACCCCTCTTGCATGCGATGTGGAGGGGTAGCGTGCTTGGGCTGGCTAGAAAAGCACAACTCTGCTAAAAATGCTCATAACTGACCAAGCCACCTTCATTTCACATCTCAGCCTGCCAGCGGGACGGTCTGCCCCATCCCAAAGCCATGCTACTGCAAAAGCAGCACCAACTGTCAGGTGTCGTGAGCTGAAGTTTGGAGACCAGCTCTGCAAGAAACAGCTCGACCACAGCCCGTAGCTTTAGCAATCCAGCAGCATCACAGCAGAAGATAGGACCATGGGACAAAAATCCTGGCTGAACTTGGAGTGGAGAGCAACAGTGCTATTTTCTGAACGCCTCCTCCTTACACGCACACAGCCCTGACGCTGCGGCCCAAGTAGCTGGACTGTTTTGCCATACACTGAGAGTAAGCAGTCTCAAAATCCCTCCCAACCCCCAGAAACACAGACTGCTGCTCGCTACCTTCCCAAGAGCAGATGACAATCTCCAGTGATCGGACCGCGCTCCTTCGTTAGCTTTCACATGCCCATAAATAATATTCCATAAAATGCAAATCGAAATAAAACGTAAGTGCTCAGGGCACATTTCCCTTTTCCTCTATAACACACTCAAAGGGTGTTTTTTTTTTTTAGAGGCTACGTTTTATTGGCTTGAACTTGCAACGTTTGGCAATGGGTCCTTGCTACTAATTTAGACGCAAGCATGTAAGAGTGCTAATCACAAGCTGCATGCGTGGCGAGCAAGGCACAGCGATACTGTTGGGTCTAGAGACACTCTGGCTATTGCCCGCAAAACACCGGTGGGCAGTGGGCAAGCTTTCCAGGTGCCAGTCTTTGAACCCCCCCGGGTCTCTGACAGACAGCACTCTGCAGGGCTGGGTGTCTATAAAATCTGTGTGTGGGTGTGAAACCCTTGGAAAGCGAATCCCTTGGAAAGCGAATTCCTTGGAAAGCGAATCCCTCGGCTGTGCCTGCCCCGGCCAGTGAAATCCACAGCCCCGCAGAGCGAGTGGGGCATCCGAGCGACCATGACCAACTTGCTTTCACCTTCGCTGGGCCTTGAGCTTAAAGTCTGGCCCAGAATAAAGCTCCAGCTTTCCCCGACCAGTCTGAGGCTTAAAAAAAAAACCCCAGACAACCCCAAAAACCACTCGTGTGTTTCGTCTCTGTGTTATCTTGGGGGGGGGTGGTGGGTTCGGCCTTCCCAGGCTGCAGCAACCAGACACCGGGCTGCTCCGCCATACAACGTTGGTCTCTATGTCCCCGTGGTCCCCAGCAGACCCCGGGGAGGCAAAGCCCGTCCAACCCCACTCCCCGCCGCGACACCCGGGTGGGAGAGCCGCTTTCTCCACACGGGGCTGAGGCGGCCGTGGCAGGGCCAAAGCACGGAGCTGCCTGGCGGAGAGCGGCTTCCACACCCCCGCGGGGGCCTCCTCGTTAACCACCGCCATGTCGTCCACGGCCCGACCCGCCGCGGGACTCGCCGACGACCCCGGCTCCCCGCAGGGCCCACGGCGAGGGGGGGAGAAGCGACCGCCGGCTGACGGGAAGCCCCGGCCGGGTCCGGGGCCCGTCCCG